CAGCAGAGAAGAAATTCTTATTTACAGTTACAGAGAAAGATAGTGAGAGAAAATTGTGTGTGCGCTTCTGCCTCAGCATGTGTTTGCTTACATCATATACGCACATGCTGTATGTGTGTTTACCCATGCATGGATATATACAGGAAGAGAGTCTTGTCAATGTCAATGAGGACAGTGCTGTTCATGCACATCTGAGAAAATCCAGAGGGCTCTGCAACCTCCACACATATGACCATCCATGGACTATAGGGAATGATGTGTGTGTCTGTGTGCATGCCTTGAACATATGTGCATGCCTGTGACTAAAACCAGTCTGTCACAACTGAGGAAGTTGATTTGCATCTAAAAGACAAGTACAGGCACATCTCACAGTGACAAAGATCAAGTTGTTTCCCAAATATGGTTTGATGAGTCTCAAAAGAAACACTAAATCATATTTAAACTATGAAGAAAGAGAAGGATGAAGTGAAATAACCAGATAACTGCATTACAAATAGGGGCCTATATAAATGAATAAAATAAATCGGAGAAATCTGAAGGTAACAGTAAGATTGCTGTATACGGTTATATTTTATAGGCATTAAATCACCAGGATTATCTTTAGCTTTTCTCTAAAACTTATCTCACTGCATCTGTCTAGATGATGAGCTAAGCCTATTTCAGGCAGTGGAAAAGGAAGAAAGCAGGGAAGTGAAACTGCATCACACTGTCGACTTTCCTAATATATTTATAAAATGCACTGAGCATGCAGGATGCGGTAATGTACGGTTGATTAATAACAGAAAAGAAGAAATGTTTTGTGCAAAGGCAACAAGTCGCTGTTTTAGTTTGACTGACACCGCTACCCAAATTTGTGGTTTGACTGCGCACACTGAAGCTGCCGCAGTCCCAACTGTCAGTGAACTTTCCCCCTGCACCACGCCACACACGCACATTCTCACGCCGGTCCCGCACACCGCACTGACATGAAAAAATGAAGAACCACAAAAATGCAACACAACTTTTACATACATATGTGGAGCTATGAAACGTTCACGTACCAGAGAAAGAGGACTGTCCAAAAATCAGCATTCAGTGGCTGCGTGAAGAGAAAGTGGGAATTGTGCAGTGCACGTTTCTCCTCCGTCTAAACTTCCAGTCCTCCACTGACCAGATGAGAGTAACGTGTGGTCTGGGGGGTGGGGGGGAGGCACAGGGAGCGATGCGACTCGTTCTTCAGCCTGCGCACATTTCTGGACAGTAGACACACGGAGCCGTGCAGAGCTCAGTTCGCTCCGCTCTGAGCTCCGCCAGCCAGGATGCTGCTGGGAGGAGAGCAGCGCAAGGCTTCGTGGGAAATGTAGTCGTCCTGCATTGCACTTTTTGAACTACTTGAACAGTTTATTTCCTCACTCGTAAAATAAATAAGGAGATTATAGTAAGTGTTAAAAATATTAAAAGCCTTTATTCAGCCTATTATTTTCCCTTTTAGTGAAGATGATGCGCCTATGGGGACCTAAAGTGACTTTTTCTGGTTATGTAATATACAGTTATTTACAAGCTGTAATAGTCTGCTATGTGAGACCAATCCAATCCAGTAGCTACAGCCTAGGAGAAGTTAAACAGACCAGATTTGTGTGGTTACTGATTTATAAACTTTACGATTTATGAGTGACATGTTTAGTTATATTTAACAAGTGGAAATACCCTTTCTCCAACAGTCTATACTGGCATTTCCTAAGAAACCCTGTGGGTGTTCACGCATGCACTGGTACACTCTCCCATTTCATTCTCTCAGATGCAGCTCCATATTTAACACCATTAATACTAGGGCTTCAATAATCTACTATATATTCACACCTAAACCAGGCGCCACCCATGGTGTGAATAGCAACTGGTGTTGTGAACACTTAAAGACCCACTAATAGTTTAAAAAGGACCCACAATTAAATACCAGTGTTTCCTTGAAAAATCATTTCACACTGAAAAGAACATTATATAACTTATTATTGTGCTCATGAGGAGACCTTGATAGATGAAATCCTGCACTAAAACAATGCCTTCTTTTTCCTTTGAGGTCAGCTGTCCCTTGAGCATTCATTGTTTCTGAGTGCCCTCTCCCCCACTTACTTATTATTGGACATACAACACAATTTTTTAAATAATTATCTATGTGGGTGTGTGTGTGTGTGGTGGGTGGGGGAAGTGTGTAGGAAATGCTTCTGCCTCTCAGTAGCTTTATGTCTAATTTTAGAGCCCCGTGCCTCCACTGTCCAACTGTCATCGGCTAGGGTTGAATTGTTGGCCATTCAGGAAAGAGACTTGAGACTGTTGAAATTAGGATACATTGTACATGCTTGGGTGTGCTGATCTGAGAATAGTACATCTGTTCTTCGCACACCCTGAAAACATAGTAGCTATAAATATGCAGCTATAGAGAACAAAGATCAAGGAAGTGAAAACACAAAATTTACATTTTGCACAGAGGATAGATTGGTTGATAAGTAGTGTTTTGATTCTCTTTTTCAAAACAAGAAAAAAAGTCTGACCCCCGACACTTAAGTTTCACTTGACTAAGGAAAATATACTGAACTGAATTGCAGCTGCTGACAAAAACCTGCTGAGATAAACACCACATGGTTATAATCTCTAAACTCCTCAGTTATGTGCAGACACTGAACTAGTTTACAGATTTGATTTGTGCATTTCCATTTCAGACATGTTTATTATATCCTGACAGATTTTTGACCTTTTTCTTCTGCAGAGTGCAGGAGCTGGGAACCATTTGTATATTTAATTATGAGATGTGTCTATTTGGAAAGCAACACTTTCTTTATTGACTTAATGCCTGACAGTCGCCCCCAACTCATCCTCTTCTAACATAATTTTGTTCTGATGATTACAGTTGGGCTCCCTCTGAGTTTCCTTTAATCAGCTTTGACATGTCAGAGTGAATAAATGCTGTTGTTTACCTATTTAGACCTAACTGTATTGCATTTTATT